ATTTGTCACTGAAAAATAGAAGTTTTCGATCACTGTACAAATAGTTTTGATTCAGTGAACATTACATATGAAAGGAATGAAAAAAAAACTGTTTTTACAAAACATCGCCAATGCGGTGTCGTAAACGTAGCTCTTTCCCTGGTAGGTTTCTTTCCAAAAATCGTAAACGACATGTTTGATTATTCCAAACTGCCGTTTTTATGAGCGCCCAGAAGACTGTGGGTAGCATCCCTGCCCGCTCCTCCGAAGATATACACCCGGTCGACTGCCTTATGTGTTATTAATGCTCCACTGAAGATGGATGTTAAGAAGAAGAAGAGATGCCGGCTCGTTTCGGGTGAAGGACGCACCATTCTTCAGACGGAGGCTAGGCCATTAGAAACCTGTGATGCCCCCTACCACCCCCCCCCCTTAGTGGTGTGCACTTAGTAAATGGACATTTTCTGCCGCGGCTGCTATTTCATTTTTGATATAGATTAGCGATTACAGGATTAGGGGCAATCTTATTTTGGAAATAAATCCTTTGTTATTTAGAAAACAAGATCTCGACTGATTGCAACTTTCAACTTTATCTGCAAATAATCGTAACCATTTCCAGCTTGAAAATAGTTACATTTCTTTTCAGAAAATTATGAATATTCATAACAATTTTAAATTATTTCTATTGTCTAAAAGCCCTTGTGGTGATTTGGAATGGACAGTAAAGGAAAACTATCAAGTCAGAAGACCAGAGTGATGCATACGTAGAGGATCAACCACAATGCGTGGAAAAATAAATATAATTGCCAAATGATGCAGAGCTTTATACCAGGCATATTACAGCTCGCTGGGGCTTGACAAAAATGTCGAAACCTAGGCCTACTGATAAATGATAGCGACGGTTGATGCCTTGGCACATCTGCCCGAGGAGTTATGGCATTTATTGTGAGCTGTGTCGTATATTGTTTACCGCAGTCTCTCTGACGTGACAGGCGAATGTTCTAGAATATAACATTGACAGACGTTAACGTATATACCGGGGAAGATTTATGTAATGGTGCTGAACGTACGGTAACCTCTCCGAAAACGTACCCGGTATAGAAATATAAAATTTACAGGAGGGATGGGCAAGTACAAAGTGAAGATTTGTGTAACGAATGCCACATTGTTACAGTGGAAAAGAAACAAACTTCTGCAGTTTCAAAGACAGTCGCTAGGGGTTCCGTAGCATACACCTCACCAGGTACTAGTACCTAAAAACCTGGAAATGACACCGAAGTCATAACCACATTGACAATAAACAACTAAAAAAGGGAAGGTGGAACAACAATTTATGTTCCCCCGCCCAAACTTTATACGTCTCTTAATTAAAATGCAGCGCGTGTAGCAAAATCCCCGTCCCAGCGGGAAGAGGCGACCTTTGCGCATCCTCCCGACTGTCTTGCTACATTATCCGTTAAATGACTGCAGTGAGCATTAGGTACAGGGTGGGGGCGGGGACCTCGCCTGGTCTTCTGCTGCTATAGCTACCACAGGGGGAGGGGCGACACGGATTTTATGAAATGCATAAGAATTTTACTGAAAACATACGGATTGATATGAGAGAGAGCTGACAAATTTCGTGAAAGGCAGACACTTTTTACCCAAACCTCAAAACTGCTGCCTGGGTCACGTGAATAGCATTTATTGTTGAATTGTCATATTGAGTTTTTTTTTAATTCGTATGAAATTCATGTTAATTGATATGAATACATACTAATTGAATTATACAATGTAATGTGAATTTAATAGAATTCGAATGAATGCTTAGGCATCCCTAGTGCCAAATGCACTTGGAATAGCGGAAATATGGGGGCGTGAGGGGAGGGAATATTACCGGGAACAATCCACCGTGAAATTATCATTACAGCTGGGATCACCTTGATGTATGGTGAAAACTTGCATCAACATGAGACCTACATGTACGAAAAAGAAATGTTGTGCATCCAGTTTTCCGACAGACCCTAGAGTATTTTGTTTTTCTAATGTAACTCGTACGTTGTCAATTCACGGTGTCCCTTTTGTCATCGACGTTGACATATGTCAGGTTACATTTTGTAGAGTCTCCTCACTCTCCTGTCTAGTAGAATCGGCGGTGTTAGAGTGGTTTCCCATATACAAATTCTAAAATTCATGAGCGAATATTTACAGACTCCGAAGGACATCTCTACCGGTAGAATTACCGATTCTACCAGATCGGAGTCTCTACACTGACATATTTGTACATTTACCATTTACCACCAGCCAGTCAATCAAGACTGACGTTTGGGAGCAGTCTGGCCAGGTTCAGGCTACGCCTACCTTTATACGAAATTGGATTGAATTTGAGTCAAATTCGACCCCCGAACACGCCCGACCACTGTTGGCCTACTCCCGAACACTAGCCAACCAGCAACATTTTGAAACAGTAGCCGACCTCGCCGTACACCAGCCAACCACAGCTGACCTTGCTCCCGACCAACTCCGAACCATGATTGGGGGGAGTTCGGCGGGTGTTCGGGAGGCCATACTCAGTGGTACCATTAGCCATGTCATTAATCCGTCTTGATTTTCAGCTAAAATATAGACTTTAAATCATACCATCGATTTCTGATACGATAATAGGCTGTTATCTTTCTTGCATATATCATCTTTTATCACAATTCATGTCATGTCATGGCCTTAATATATCAGACTTAACTTTATTGATTTTCCTTATTAATCTCATTGAAATTTTACATAAATCAACAAACTCTTATATAATTTTGATGCTATTTGATTGTGAGCTACGACATTTTTCAAGATTATGTATATCTATTCACATGTCATGAATTGTATGCATGTAAGTTTTTGATCTGTACGTTTTATTTATCTGAATAAAGTGAAATTAAACAAGAAAATTATTTTAAAAAAACTGATATATCAGTAGGAACCATGCAGACGTTGAAATGCCGTTAGAATATACAGAAACCAGTCATACATGAGTCAAAGACCCGATGTATGTTTTAAAATCTGGTGTAATTTTGATTGGAAAAAGTTCTCGAGAGTACTGTTTATGGCTATAATTTGTCTTGACTTTAACCAGAATACAGCCCCTAAATCATACCATCGATTCCCGATACGGCAATAGATTCTTTATCTCGCTGCATGGATGCCGGAGCAAAGTTTATCATTTTTTTTCTCACGGCATGACCTACAAATTTCAGGTCATCGAACTTTACTTTATTGATTTTTTTTCGAAAATGTACATAAATAACTGGATCCGTGGAAAGCACCGGCAAAGTTTACGACTTGTAATGTAACCCAAGTCATCAAAGCAAATCAGTGGTAAGTAGTGATACAGAGAACAACTATGAATAACTAGAACATCAGTTCTCTGGCAATGCCCGTTACGGTGTCAGATTTTTATAACCATGGCGCCTCCGTGCTTTTCCGTCGCGTAAATGGTCGTTGCCAATTGAAACGCGGTCGACGCCGCTGAAGGCAGAGCGTACTCTCCAAGCAGAGGTTTGGGTTTTGGGGGTATTTTTAGTGTGTTTTTAAGGCTTTTTTTTCGGGGTTTCTCTTTTGCACTGAATTTTTTTTCCCACCAAAAGTTGGGTTTGGTGGGAAAAAAATTCAGTGCAAAAGAGAAACCTCCCCCAAAAAAGCCTAAAAACACACTAAAAATACCCCCAAAACC